CTTACATGTATAGCCTTCCTTCTGTTGCGATTAAGTTTAGTATTTGTATGAAAGGTGTGAATTAGAAGGTAAAATATATACCTAAGTGTCATATAATCCTTTCTCCCCCTAAATACTCATATCTTTTATAAGTTCAACATTGAAGTTCACACACACCACACCACACGCACACACACACACACACACACACACACAAGAAGTTATCAGATATGATGGAACACCCAAACATGCAAATACCTACCGACAAATTACAAAGCATAAAGACAGGTAGTTGTGCCAAGGTATTATGACAAATGGCTGATTTGCTTTGTTGAGATCCTGATTCCAGGAAATCTTGAGATCTTAATCCCTAAAAAAATGGACCCTTTTCTTATGAAATAGAATATCACTGGTATTCTGTTGCACGAATATGCACCCAAACATGCAAATACCTACCGACAAATTACAAAGCATAAAGACAGGTAGTTGTGCCAAGGTATTATGACAAATGGCTGATTTGCTTTGTTGAGATCCTGATTCCAGGAAATCTTGAGATCTTAATCCCTAAAAAAATGGACCCTTTTCTTATGAAATAGAATATCACTGGTATTCTGTTGCACGAATATGAATTACTCTATTAGGCAGGTTACGGAAGCAATATTGGTGAACTCTGGCTGTTGGAATGGACAACTTTGTTTCCAATAAGTAATATATGCATATGTATTCTCTGAACCTGATGTGCATAATAAACCTCTTTGGAAAGTAAGCATTTTCTCAACTAAAAAATGCATTTTCAGTAATTTTTGATCCTGTATTACTACCCATTTTAAAACTCATTCTATATCAGTTGATTATTGACTAAATTTTAACTTTCTGGTTTTACATCTATGCCATTAAATATAGTTTTAGTTTTAACATGCATCGACTAGTAGGAAAATATAGGTTATACACTTGTTTTCGCATATTGTTTCAATGATGTTCACAGCAATAAATTATCAGTATGAGAAGGTAATTCTGAGATTGCAAGGCAATGCTTCTGTAAAAATTGGTCATATTATGTAAACATCTATAAGAATGATAGTAGGTTTCATAGAAGAGGATACGTTACAATTAGCTTTAATCAGCAAGGCAAAAAAAATGCTAAACATCTTTTTTGATACTTTAGTTGATGATAAAAATGCCAAGAAGTGGCCTGGATTTCATATCTACAGTACATTAGAAATATTTATAAATCATAGCAAATCACCATGATCTACATTTGCCAAGTAATTGTATAAGAGGTCGTAAAGGCTTTTCATGACCCAGAAAAGAGATGACATAAAACTAAAATTTAATACATATTACTTGTGTTTCAGGTTTTCATCTCTTTTTACTTTGCCAGGTTAAAGAACTCACAAGTCTTTTTTCCCCAACCCTCTCACTCAGTCTTACTCAGGGAAAGCCAGCGAAATAAAAAGGAACATACAACCACTGATTTACAGCTTACAGTTAAGGAAAGTTTGCTTTTCCATTGTATCTATTAACTCCAACTCTTTTCATCAAGAAAGATTCTAAAAGGTGGCAGAAGACAAATTGAACAGCAGTATGTTTAAGTGGAGCATCTGGGAGGCATGCTGGTTGTCATAGATTTCAATGTTTCTTCCCAGTATAAATTTTAAAATTTCATGGAATGACATAAATGAATATGTTTAGTAAAAATATATCTGATTTTATTGGCCAACCCCAAATCTAGCAGGTTTTCCCCCCTTGAATGGAGAAAGAAAAGAGAGGAACATGAGTTAATCAAAGAAAAAGACTTGAATAAAATCCAAGTATCTTCATACTAAATATATCAGGGTTAAGGTGCCGTTTGCAATTAATAGAGGATTTCACACTACCTGGCATAAATCTGATTCCATCTCTAGACTGTAACTTTTCTGATTGAATATGCTTCTTTTTTATCCATGTAACGTGTTGCCTTTTTAAAAAACGGCTACAAAATGTGTGAGGTGGTCCATCCCTAAGACTTCAAAGAAGGCCACTTCCTCTTCTCCTTCTAGTGGTCTGTGTGACTGGGTATCTAAGGGGTTTGTTTCGTTTTGTTTTTCTGTTGCAAGGCCAATTTATCCATTATTGGAAATGCTAAGCAAGTGGAATTTACTGTTTTGTTAATAAAATATTTCTTAATACAACTGTGGATTTATTGATTGTAAAGGTGGCATGCGGCACCATCTTACGATTAAGTGGAGTTTGGGGGAGGACTGCCATTGGAAGGAAGTTCTGTCCTCAGAAAGTAGCAGAAGGGTACTGACTCTCCTTTTTCTGGAGAGAAAAAAGAATATATTCATTTTGGTGTACCTGAAAACACAGGCTCACGGAACTTGTTGAGAACAACAAATGTATTCTGATGTCTTAAATATAGTTTTCTCTAGAAAAAGCAATGGGATTTAAGTTAATTACACTTCTGATTAACTACAACACTCTGACTCACTAGCTATAATTTACCTAATTTCCTTCAATTTCACTTCCTCATTTGTACTTATCAGCCTTACAAGGTGGAAATGATAATTTGAGCTAATGTATCTAGCACAACTAAGTGCAAGTAAAAGATAACTACTATACAATATCATTAACTTCCAGAATGGTTATTATTTGAGAACACATGTCAAAAATCATGTGCTAAGATTATCATTTGAAAAACAAGCAAACCCCCCAGGCATATAAATGAACAGATTTATTTATTTCATGCAGTTATATTTATTTTCCACAAAGCAAAGTATCCTTTTGGAAATGTTGGGGCCTATCAAGAACTTTCAGTTCAACAGCTGGTAACTTTTAAACTTTTAAGAACTGGCCTTTTTTTTTTTTTTTTAGTAATTTCCTGATAATAAAGGACAGCCAAAAACCTTGGCTTTCAAAATGTTTTTTTCATAGTAAAAAGTTTCAATGTGAACACTCAATACATGTAGCAACTATTAATATCCTGTTACAAATACATGTGTGTTGTTCTCTTCCTAATATTCACTCATGATTTTTACAGGTACTAGGAGGACACAATCCAAATTTCCTGAATGTTGAAATTAAGGGCTATATAATTTAGCTTGCCTTAGACATGTACGACACCTCAAAGGTGGTGGCTGTATAAACCCTATGATCAGTATGCAGATTGAATTTCATTTCTGTTGCTTTGATAAAATATCCTGACAAAAAAGCTGCTCAAGGAAGTAAGAGTTTATTCAGTTTACAATTGCAGATTACAGTCCTGGAAACCTTATATTAAGGGGCAATCAAGGCAAGAATGCAAGTAGCTGGCCCCAGCACATCCACAGTCAGGAGCAGAGCAGTAAGTGTGTGTGGGGATGCTTGCTTGCTTGTTTGCTTGCTTTTAGCTAGCTTTCTTTTCTCTTACAGTGTTCAGGACCCCCTGCCTATGTAATATGGCATAGTGCCACCCACAGTGGACTGGGTCTTGCTACATTAATTCACTCAAGACAATCCCATACAAACCCACAGACCAACCTGATCTAGAAAACTGCTCATTAGATTCTTCCCAGGTGATTCTAGGTTGTGTCAGGTTGACAGTGAAAGCTAACCAGCGCACAGATCAGACTATTAGATCCTTGACCTGTGGAGAGCAAAGATTCCCCAGAGCTCGATAGGTGGCACCAAGGGTTGCAAACACACGTGTGCACATTAAAATATATTTCTAATATTATGCACACACAATACAGATGAACATT